ATTCTTGAACGTTCTAGAAGAAATAAAATATACAATTATTCCAATATAATATTTAATATTATATTTAGCAAAACAACCTCACTTATATAAATTTAATTTTTCGCAATCGAAAAAATGTTTATTTATGTTTTCTTCCCTTTATTTCCTTATTTTCTTATTTCCTCTTCATTACAAACATTGCAAACAAATTAATTACCTCACGGCGAGCACCTTCAGGTATTTGCATAGGTATCGGTCTTGCTTCGCCGGTGATATGCTGAATGATATTTTTGATTTCCAAAGGTACTTGTTGAATAATCCTTCGAATTTCGAACGGGATTCCTTGGAAAGGTGAACGTTGCGTCTCCGTTGAAACTTGAGATTGCGATTGTGGTTGCGGCTGAGGCTGAGCTTGAAGCTGCATTTGAGGTTGCATCTGAGGTTGCATCTGAGGTTGCATCTGAGGTTGTACCTGGAGTGGACGTTGCTCGGTTTGCGGGATCAACATATGAGGAATAATCCGTTGCTCGTGAATCTGAGCTTCTGGTTGCGGTGCTGGAGGAGGCATCATCGCTGGTTCTTGCTCTTGGTTGTAAAGTCCAGATGTTTGCTCAATTTGTTGATACGTCAGTGGCACTTGTTGCGGTTCTTGGGGCATCGGTGGTCGCATACCTCTCATAGGATTCGCCGGGAAATGACGCAACTCGATGGGAATCCGACGTATCTCGACCTGAATAAAATTATTCAATTACAATTATATCTTTCTTAATTAAAATATTTTGAAGATATATCACAATACTCGATTGACAAACTTTATTTATTTATCTCAATATAATTATTGCAATCTCAATGACAAAAAATTTTTTTCATTTTTTCTTTTTTTTGTCTTTTTAGTCTTTTTTTGATTTTGTTCCTAATTATTAACACGAAGCGTACTAACTTGAGGTCCCATCGCAGGAGCTTGTGGTCCCATCATGGGCGTTTGTGGTCCCATACGTGGAGGCCTCATTTCCATGGTTACTTGAGGGATATTTCGCAATTCTGGGGGAAGGACACCAGGTGGGATATGGTTGAGCCCACGTGGATCGCTAAGTGGTAACTGTTGCATATCAGGAACTTGATACTGAGTGTGCACTTGATACTGATGGTAAGCCGGGTTCGGTTCCTGGGATTGAAGTGGTACTTGGACGGTTCCCAGAGGAATGATGATTGGCGTGAGCATTTCTTGATCTTGTTGCCTTAAAAATTACATTTTTTTTTAATCAATATCATACGTACAATTTTATTTGATTTTCCAAATTTTTAATTTTTTTTTCTTTGCCGTAACAAAATGTTCATTTTTTTTTCTTTCATTATAAAAATTTAATAATTTTTATAATGTACGTACTCTTGATGAGGATTTCCAGATTCGCACAAAATGGCGACGCGCTCTCCGCTTAATCTTTGGTAACGAGAGTCAGTATTATTTTCAACATTATTGTTATTAGCACCGTCCATCACTTGATCGGCTCTTCGTCTTTCGACCACGCAAGAAACTCTGCTGCGTGCCTCTTGGATCAAGGTCTAAAAAAAAAAGAAAAAAAAATATTTGTAAATTTTCTCTTCGAGTTGAGATGAACTTATCATTCTTTTATTATATAAATTCATTTTATCACGATTCAATAAAAATCTTTTATATACATATACATATATATAAAATTGTGATAACATTGGCAAAGTATAAATTTCCATAAATTATCGAATTGCATAAAAGGAAATAATAATATATAGATTGTCAAATTATGGAAATATTATCTTGCGATTAAATTAACTTACGCCCGCGATCTCGTCGAAATCGAATTGTAGGGGAAGTTTAATATGCACGGGAGGAAATTCGTCATCGTCGTAGTCATCGTCGTCATCGTCATGGTCACCGCTTTCGTTGTCCGATTTCGAATTGTTCTCATTCTCCTTGTGAATTTTGACGTCCTTGGTGTCTGGTTCTGCCTCTTTCTTCGACGGTGTTTGCTCAGCGAGAGATTGTTGAACCTCTTTCGTGTCGCTGGTATCCTGTGCAAAGATAAAATATTCTCTTTGAAATCTCTTTTGTGAACGTGAAGAGAGTACGATAAGTATAAAAATATCATTCTATATTTTTATTAATTCCTGTAATAAAAATTTTTTAAAGAAAATTTCATCGATAACGTTTAAAATTAGTCGTTAATTCCAATATAAAAATATCCAACTCGTCATATCCATTTATAATACGTATAATCTGTAACTCGTAAATTTTATATATATTATTAACATACCAGGATTACGATACGCTATTTAATTATTTTCCACGTTTTATTGCACTACGAACGATATAAGTATACTACTAAACAGTTTGAATGTTCTAACGTTCATTTCAACATTAATAAATTTTTCATTATATTGATAATGATGTAAAATCAATTATCATAATTTTAAACAATTATTAGAATTGCAAAAAAAAAAGAGAATGTTTGGATTGAAGCGTACATAAAATCCAATTCAACATACATATTATATCTCTAACGAAATTAGAATGTAAAACTTTCCTCCTGATGTACATCGCGTACCTTTCATCAACAACATCTTAACCGTCACAGAATCAAAAAGTAAACGAAATAAGATACCATTATTATTATTATTATTATTATTATTATTATTATTATTATTATTATTATAAAGAACGAGTATTTTTAAAAGAAAAATAATAATAATAGCAAGTAATGGTATTATATCTCGGTATTATATCGCTTTGTTACGACTATTTTTATTATTATCAGCGATAATAAACAAAATTCAATTAATAATGGTATAATTAAAAAAATATAACCAACGGTTATACAACGCAATTGAATAATATCTACTAATGGGATAATCGAATTCCCTTCCCACGAATGTTTCTTCTCTCCCCAAGTTGCAAAAACTTGAAAGATGATCCTCGAGGAAGAGACCGCAAACCGAAGACCGTATCGGTCCTCGAGCCATTCCTCAAAGCCTCGAAAGTTGAATAAATATCGCCATAGCAATCATCCGTTGATGCAACTCGTTTTCTTCCTGGTCGCGAGTGAAAGCGGACTCTCCTCGCGTTATCGCGCTGTAACCTCAGCGCCAGAACGATAGAAATCGAACGCGGGCCGAGGATGAGACGCTCGATTTTAGCCGCCATCCGAACGACGCGCAATTCTCATTTACGATAAGCGATACAACAATCGGGGATTTGTTGTGCCGATATATTTTCAAAAAAAATTTTTTTTTTAATATTCGAATAACTTTGAACAAAGACAATTAAAAAAAATTTTTTTTTTCAATATTCGAATAACTTTGAACAAAGACAATTAAAAAAAAATTTTTTTTTCAATATTCGAATAACTTTGACCAAAGATAATTAAAAAAATTTTTTTTTTCAATATTCGAATAACTTTGAACAAAGACAATTCAAGAAATTTTTCAATATTCGAATAACTTTGAACAAAGACAATTAAAAAAAATTTTTTTTTTCAATATTCGAATAACTTTGAACAAAACCAATTCAAAAAATTTTTCAATATTCGAATAACTTTGAACAAAGATAATTAAAAAAAATTTTTTTTAATATTCGAATAACTTTGAACAAAGACAATTCAAAAAAAATTTTTTTTTCAATATTCGAATAACTTTGAACAAAGATAATTAAAAAAATTTTTTTTTTCAATATTCGAATAACTTTGAACAAAGACAATTCAAAAAATTTTTCAATATTCGAATAACTTTGAACAAAGATAATTAAAAAAAAATTTTTTTTTTCAATATTCGAATAACTTTGAACAAAGACAATTAAAAAAAAATTTTTTTTTCAATATTCGAATAACTTTGAACAAAAACAATTCAAAAAATTTTTCAATATTCGAATAACTTTGAACAAAGATAATTAAAAAAAATTTTTTTTTTCAATATTCGAACAACTTTGAACAAAGACAATTAAAAAAAAATTTTTTTTTCAATATTCGAATAACTTTGAACAAAGACAATTCAAAAAAATTTTCAATATTCGAATAACTTTGATCAAAGACAAGAAAACAAATTGTGATCTTAATGATTCGATAACGATGATAAGTATATATATAGAACGCGTATATAAATAAAAAGTGAAGAAATAATGGAAAATATAGAATAAAACTTTTTTACATTTGAGACTTCGTTTTCGAATATAATTGAAACAATAATTATTTTCTGATTAGATGTATGAATTACTTATTGTATTTCATTGTTCGTGTGAAAATGTAAGCAAAAGATGTAAAAAAATTGAATCTGAAAATTTGTCGATTATTATACACGACTCCTTAATTATATTATTATATGGATTTTCTCAAAGGCAAAGATTTTAACGATACAATTTGATTCTATATTTTTTGCTTATTTTCACACATAAAGTAATTATGTTATTATAGATAATTTATTTATATCTAATTGAAAATAGTTAATTTTGTAGTTGAAAAGATTTGAAAACTCGTTTTCCTTGAATACGAAATCTTAAAAGTTTCATTCTTATTTTTTCTTATCTTTTTCATTTATATTACAAGAAACTTTGCATATTAGTACTAGTATATGTATATTAATTAATCTCAATTGACCGATTACTGAAAGTCGAACGATTTCTACTATTTCTATCGCTATCCAATTATAGAGAAAGGCAGAAGACTGAATGAAGAAAAATATGAAACGAGCTTTTTTTTCATATTTTTAGATACTTGTTAACATTTTGCATCTTGCTTTTAAATATTAAATAATAAAATATATTTATATCGATTTATGATTCGAATAGATTCCTCGCTTACTTTCTCAAATTACATTTAAATTAAAAAAAATTAACAAGTCATCTTCATCCATTGTATTCAGAGTTGCTTATTTTAATATTTAAAATACTCGAATAATATTTATTCATTACAATTAATTATGATTATTTGAATAATACTTTGAATAATAAATTATTCGAGTAACTTATTAAAATAAACCATTAAAATTTTTCCCATCACTGATTACGTACAACACAACATTTAAATTACCAAATTCAATTTGTCAAGCTTACGAACATCTAAAATTGGATTACGAAGTAGATATTGTAGAAATATATTATGAAAACGTGAAATACGTGTTTAGTGATAGGAAGGAAGTTGCCTCTCGCGATACTTTCGAGAATCTAATTTGTGATCGGTCAGCAGGAAACCATTATCGTGCAAGAAACGTTAGTTGCATCAAGTTTCTGATGAGGTTCAACATTTCCAACAGTCTCTGACTGGGCGAAAGAGAGAAGGCTTCCTCCAAGTGACAACTTTCTAGAATATCGGTGAACGTAATGAAAGGAATGGCTGCCGACCAGCTTCTGGTTGCAATTCTACACTGGATCCAATAAACCTCGCTCTTCCATTCAATGCTATCGTTTGATCGAGCATTTTACGAGAAAGTTGTGATTACTTCGTGTTTTTGCATTTTAATATGCGTTCCTCGACTTGCATTCAGATTATTACACTTAGATTATTGCATGTTTATGTATAAGTTTAACATATTTATTTTAAATATGTATAAATCACATAATGCCACTGTTCCTTAAACACGAAATTAACGTGTCTCTTGCAATTTTTCATTTCTTTGCTCTGCACATTCTATTCTTCACCATCCAATTCTAATTCTGTTTATATTTCAGATTCATAGAAATCAATCTCATCGTGAAAATTTATATAATAAATTTTGATAGAAAAATTATACAATATTTTCTCTCCTGCTGAAATGAGAGAATGCTGCCAGAGGAATAAAAATATAAAAAATTAAAATCTGTTAATAATTTTTCCAATATTTTAAATAATTCAAAAATGTAAATTAAAAAATTTAATTTTCTTAATCACTTACATTATTTTTTCCATATCATTAACCATCCATCGAAATCTTCCATGCAACACATCATGCATATCTATTTCAATTTTACTTTCGAGCCGGTTGAAGAAACTGGGCCAGCTCGTAGAAATATACGTTTTCCAAAGTGTATATCTCACGAGGAAAAGGAAATCGATTGGATTTCGCGATATTTTTTTTTGCGAAAGAAGAGGGGATACGAAGAAGAAATCGGTGTGACTAAAAAGAGAAGAAAAACATGAGTTCACAAAGTCCACAAGCTTTCTTTAGAAATCTTGGCCAACCCTTTCTTACGAGGCTGCCTATCAATTAACGGTCCAATTATGACGAGTAATCATCGCGGTTAAGTGATTATTGCACAGAATTTTGCATCGTGGAATACACGTTCTCGATAATGTGGATTCGCGCTCGCATGCCTTCACCGAAGATTGAAATCGACGGCACACTTTTCGATCTTGCGTTGTTTCTTAATTAAATGTTGACTGATTCTCATCGGTATATTTCAATTGTTTTAATGAGAATATTTTTCGTACCGACGTGAAAGTAAGAATTTTAATTATGAGTGTTGAATTTTTCATCAATTGAAACGAACTAAACGAGATTTAATTGAGATATATATATATGTATAAATAAATATACAATAAATAATATTTTATAAATCTGAAATAGTGAAACTGATCATTGATCATTGAAAAAGAAAAAGTGTATGGAAATCGTATGAAATTTTTATCCAAGAGAACATTTTAACCTAACCTAACCTATAATGGTATAAGAATGATATATAATCTGATCTAATATTAAAATACATAGATGTAAATAATTTAAATAATAGTTGCATCGAGAAAAAGTGAAATTTAAAAGATTCTGTAATTCTGTGAAATTCCGTGAGAATTTCCTATCACTGTACAAACACATGTTAATAATGGAAAAATACGCGGCACGATACCGAGATAGGTGAAAATCGTTCTTGATAATTGATAAGGAGCAATTTCTATCGTCAAAATGATGCAGCATACGAACACAATAGCTTGAGCACAACGAACAACAATACAGTTAAGTTTGCAGAGAGAAAATCTTTTTAGAGAACGTTCACCTTGTTGTCGGTGCGTGCAACGGGCAACCCACTTTCCGTTGCGCCGTATATACCTTTCCATCGAGAAAATAAAGCGCAGCATCTTTTCTCGATACTTTCGTATCGGTGTAAAAACTCTCTGTTGAAAACTCTGGCGACGGAAAGAAAAGAATAATTTTGACGAAGGAAAATGAAAAGATAAATATATATATGTAACTTACTTTTTCAAAATTTAACATTTCCAATTGATATATCCATCGTTGTTAATATTTGAAATCGATGAAATAGTGAAATTTTCATAACGAATTAACACAAAATTAATCGTTAAATTATTAATTATCAATTTTCAACGTACATTTGTGGAATGGCATTCAGATTCTTTTCAAGTCACTAGCGAAGCAGAAAATTAAAATTAATGTTGATTATTGGCACAGGATCGAGTAAATACACGTGTACATATTGTACGTAGGTATATGTATACATAACCTTTTCTGAGAACTTTCACTTGTTAGCAGAAAAGAGAATAGACGTTAATGCTCGAGGTATATAGTGTTTAACTTTCAACACGTGATTGATTAGCATGTGCAAATTTTCTCTCTTTCAAATCGTATTTGTGAACAATGTGATATGAAAAGAAAAGAAAAAAAAGAAATTCTGCGGCAAATTTTTTGGCATACCATGTATAAAAATAGTAATATTAATAAAATGTCCAATCTACAATAAATCATATTTTTGATATTCATTTTGTAAACATTTCAATTTATGAATGTTAAAATAATATAAGATGGATATAATTATAATTTTTGATTCGTTTAAGGCAGTTGATAGAAAGTAAGATCAATTTATGCGATTAGAATGGCAATCTAAAAACGTAATTTTATTTATACGATTCTATGCAAAATAACTATAAAATGAAAATTGAATGAAAAATTAATTAAATGCATATGCAATTATGTATATTTAGATTAAATATAATTTGGAAATAAAAATTCCTTGAATAAATAGGAATAATGTAAGAATAATGTAATTTGTAAATATTCTAAAATTAAAATTCTAAATAATTCTAAATAATAAATTCCTCTGAATCCAAATATTATTTCTTTTCATAATTTTTATCAACGTAACAAAATAAAACAAGAAACATATTTCTCAAAAAATTACCGTTTCTTAATATATATTACTTAATCATCAATATTTCGTACAAACAATATAAAAATATAAAAAATAAATCTCGTTAATTTGTTATATCACGAACAATTTCATACTTCGCTATTTTGAAATTAATTTTTTTTTTTTTCCTCTATAATTTCAATGTCGTTTAAAAGTCAAAACGGAAAAAAGAATAAAAAATTTTCCGCAGAAGTAAGATTTATAGTTGATATCTCGAAAAAATAGATGCAATATAAGAAAAAAAAACGCTTGATATCACGAGTATCGATTCATTATCCTTGATTATTTTTAGATTTCGTGAACACTTGTTACACCTTCTATATCTTTGAGTTTATTTATTTTTTTTTTTTTTTTTTTAACTATAGCCA